TTTTTTTTTTCTCATTTTGATAAAATTAAATTGAAAGTTTATGTCAAGGCAAATTTTTTTTTCCTGACATCAAAAATGCAGAAACTTATGGTGTTGTGATGTTATTGAAAGTTGTCGATGTGCATTATCAAATTTGATACCATAACAGATGATGTAGGTGTTGATGGTAGGTGGCTGGTTAGATGGATGGTTGGGTGGATGGATAGATGGATGCTAAAGTTGATAGGCATGGGAAGGCGGACAGATAGTTGAATAAATAGAAAGATAGTTAAGTATTAGATGGATAACTTCATTATCAACATTGCTTAATATCTGAGGTATGTCGAGCAGTTACTCAGTGAACAGACTTTGGTCAGCCCGAAAAATTCCTGATACTACCCTGTACTGATGTGCTTTATATATCTTCTCGTCTTTCTAATTTCTGATATTACAGTATTTCTGTTCCATCTCAATTTCCGTAGTAAAAGCATTACCGACAATTACGCTAAATTTATTTTTTGAGAAAAAAAAAACTGAAAATGTAATTTTAGTAATTTTAGTTTACCATTGTATTAACGCTTTAATTCAATTGTACAGTTGAAGGGTAAAACAGTCAGCCAAAAACAATAAAAGGAAAAAAAAAGAAGGAGATCAAAGAACAAGAAAAAAAAACTAAAATGAGGATAACAAATGAGATTGTATTTAGTGAATTTTTTGGTTTAGGTTTGTCGTATTACGAAGTATGACTGAAAATTTAACGATTGTTAGTTTGGCAGTGTTTAGAATAAAACAAAATTTTTTTTTTGGTTTTTTTTTTTTCTTGGCATGATATACACTGTTTATACCCAATTCCCATGACAAATTATTGGCGTTTGTTTTTTTTTCCTTTGTTAATTTCCTTGTTTTCCTTCCCCTTGTCCTCATCTCTTTGTCTTTTTTTTTTTCAAATGATGTTAGTTTAAACTGATATCTATTTAATGTTGAAAAGATTACAACATAGCTTAACAAATTAAGCACTATCTTTTCATGCTTTAGCTTTAGCATTTGTTATTTTTGTTGTTGGTGGTGGCTATTGTTGTTTAGTTTTTAATTGTTAATCAAACTGATGCACTTATTCATAGAGGGGGCAGCTATGAAAAGGTGGTACAGCGGGGTCTGTGAGGGTGGAGTAAAATGTAATATCCACAATTTTCGTGTGTATTTACTTACAATAAACAACAATTTTATATGTATCAGTGTACATATTCAGAAAATAATGCAAAAAATAGTGAACTAAAGAACAAAAATTACTGCTGGTGCCATTACTACTGCTATATATGTATCCAACATGTGTATATTTGAATACATTTTGTTGTTTGGTTCAGTTTTTCTTCTATGTTTCTATTAGTTGTGCTTTTGGCAGTACACTACAGCAGCTTAACAATTTCACGGTCCCAAACAAGCAAACAAACAAACAGAAGACAGTGCCTATTTGGTTATCTTATATTCTTGCATTTGTCTCATATATAGACTTAATTTTAAACGAATGTTGACAGTTTATAGTACATTTTGGGCTTTTCTGTGGTTCATCACAGCTTTTTTTTTTCTTATTTGACAAAAGCTATTTCTTTGCAAATAAGAATTAACAAGCAAGTAATTTTTCTAAATTACTTTTTGCAGGGTTCATGTTGTTGTCGTGAACTTGAAACTTGGATTGAGAAGCAAATTAAACGACGTATATCAACAGCGATTGCTGAACGTGATGATATGTGGATAATGCATGAAAAAGAGCAAATTAATTTTTTGAAAGAGGCCAATTTCAAATTGCTTTGTGGTCTTCACAGCGAAATTGAAAGGTTGCATCATGAACTTCGAGGTAACTGGAAAAAAAAGAATAGTATATGCATGAAATTTTTTTGAACTTTTTTACATTAACACAATTAGTTTTTTATTTTTTCTTCCATTGTTTACAAAATTTTAA